ATTTTATGTGCACATCAAAATGCGCGTAAATGTGTTGCTAGGCAACTAGGAGTGCCACAGTTGTTTTACACTAATTTCTACACAGTGAAAATATCTCCTGTGGTGACAGGATTTTTAAAATGCTGATGGGTAAAAATATTCTCCTTGGTAGTTTAGTGTTAACAGAGCCAAACTTTACATTTACCTTTCAGTCAAAAATCAGGTCATCATCAGAATCAGTCAGCATCAGTCAGCATCAGCATCATTTGATTTATGGAAAGATTTTTCTGTTTTCATTCTCAAATCTGATCATCTGTACATTATCTAATGCTAGTCAACACAGATGAATTACAACCTGACTCATGAGGCCAAATTCTGTTTAAAGTAGATCAATAATTTAATAAATCTAACCCCCCTCTGGTAACTTTGATTTTGCACCAAATATTATAAACTAATCACGAGGTTGGCGCTGTTACAGCTGTTCCTCTAGCCATGCCAATCTTACCACTAGCAAAATTATATCTGAATAGAAAATTCTAGTTGACTATGTGGCCACATTTCTTCACCAGGTAATGAAGAAAGGGTTTAATTGGTTTTCACGTTAGTTTATGAAGAAGAAAAACCAGTATGCAGAACTTTGTGATGTTTTAAGAGTGTATCAAAAATGGGTTTTTAGTTGTGGAATTAAATAACTGAATTTTTTTTTAAATAAAATATATGATAAAAGATATTTAGCAGAGACACATATAAAGTGTGAAAAAATGATGTAAATACAGCTAGTAAATCAAAAACACACTTACATTTCCTTAGACCTGGTCTCATCCACTGGACTCCTTGAGGCTCCACACTGAAATAAGAACATAATCTTTTAGTGTGAAAACATGGCCTTTATATTCTCTGATTCATCTTTTCTAGGGAAATAAGCTTGCACTTTATTTTATCTCACAATAAATTGAAAATGATCATATTTTCTCATTTAGTTCTAAGGTTGGATTTTTGTTTTTATGTATCGTAAGCACATTTCTTTTAATTATCAGGTCTGTATCAGGTTCTTAAATTACCTAAATACAACCTGAGGACATTGAAGACGTGTAAAAAAAAAAAGAAAAAAAAAAGAGCCAAGATCCTGTATAAACAACACTGTATAAAAGAGTGCAGCCCTGTAGGATCATCTCAACAATGAGTAGGAATTGAATAACTTAAGAGGAATTCTTACTTTTTCACATGACTGTATCTGCACCGCATGAAATGCAAGTACTTACTTCACTTTTATTTGGCACCAGGAAAGTGAAAATCCTGCTTCAAAGCTTACAGTGGTTCTGCATTTATTGGCATAAAGGTACACAGTAAGCTCCAGACTGAGAGTCAGTCTGGGAAGACAATCTGAGCCTAAACATTGGCAAGGGAGGAAAATGAATCTGGTAGGGAGGGGACAATGAAACAGGGTTACATAATGTCATGATCCCTGGGTTTTAGACTCAGAGTTTGGAGTTTTGGGATGTTTGTTTTTTTTCTGGTCTTGAATTTTTGATTATTCTCCATATTCTGTATTGGTTTCATACTTTCTTGCAGCAGCATTTCTTGGTTTCAGTCTGGTTTATTTTCTGCCTCCCTGTGTTTCTGTCACTACAATAAACAATGTGCTTCAAATACTATTGTCTGTCTCTGTTAACATGTGTGAGGATGTTTCAGTTGCTTAGTTATTCAGTGCAACACAAAACAAATCAACATATAGAACAAACTATTTTGAGAAAAGACTGCTGTGTTCGGGCTTTAAGTTATTTGGGTCTGAGTCTGTTTCTGTCTTTGTCACTGTTGCCCCAGCATTGGTGGGGGATAACCTCAAAGTCTGGTTGGCTTTCATGGTTTCTGGGAGTTTGTGGCATCCAGTTTCTCCTCCACACCATTAACCAAAGCTAGAAGCTGGTGAAGAATTAGCTGGTATTTTCAGTTTATTAAAAAAAAAAAAAAACCCTTTCATGCATGAATTATGACAATCTATTTTTTATTCATCTTTAGGCATGAAAAAAAATTGAACTTAATTTATTTTAAACATGTACATTAAAGGTAGTTTTTTTTTACTTAGGTGGACAACATACGTATACTGGCACAGAAACCACAACACTGGACACTGATGTGGTCATCACAGTGTTGTGGTTTCTGTGCAAGTATACCATCAACACTGACACAAATACAAGAAAATAGCCTTTGAATAGCTGTCCACTGTTGTGACCACTATATGTGAAAGGGTTAAAAGTGTGTGAATGTGAGTGAATGAATAGTGGAATTGTAAAGCACTTTGGGTGCCTAGAAAAGCGCTATATAAATGCAATCCATTATTATTATTATTATTAATAATAAAAACATTTATTAACTTTTGTTGGCTAATTCTGACCAGTCACAACATAACTGTCACATTGTGCTCCCAGCCCATTGTTCCTTCAGTGGGCTGGTTTCAATCATTATGCAAATGTACTGTTTATAAGATTGGAGAAACCTGCAGTCAGCTGAGACTGAAGAAGTCAGTTGGATGAGTGACGAAACGTTTCTCCCACAAAAACGCTACGTCCAGATGAACAGAATCAACTTTTGGAGATTGTCCAATACTTTTCAAAATCTGAGCAAACATATCACCCTGTGCAACCTCTAAACTCAGTCTGAGTCTTTCTCCTGTTGTTTATGAGATGTTTCTACCAGAAGTGTCAGTGGGAATAACGGAGCAGGAGGCAACAGGGCAGGGAAGCATGAGCATCATGGAAAGTCTTTCATTCATCATCATGTGAATATGCTGAAGATATTGTCTTCAAAGTCAGCTGTGTGTGGTGAGTTCATTGAGAGAACATGTGTGTACAGCTTGTCTCTAGTCTAACACAGATATTTTTGTACTTATTTTAACCATGGATATATTTCCTTCTGAGTGTACTGTGACTGTATAATTGCAAATATACATTGAATTTTTTGTTTATTTGAAATGGCAAAAATAGTCAAATGTCAACCTTTCAAAGTTAATTGCCCCTCCAGTTCATTTGGACTGCTGCCGACCCTGTCATATAGTCCTGGGGCTTCGATCCAGCGTTTGTGTTTGGACTCTAAGTTCTGACTGATCTTTATTATTCTCATACTTTTATAATTGAAAGTTGTTAGGGTAGGCGTCTTTGATTTAGTGCTCCTGGGTTTCTTCATTACTTATTATGCAGTTGTGCTTATTTTTGTTTCTGCTCTTTCATATTCCTGGTTATAGTGATTGTTTATTTTGATTCCTGGAGTTTCAGTTTGTTCCCTGCTTTCCCTCTCTCACTCCTTGAGTCTCTGTCTTTGTGTTTGTATTCCTCTGTCTCCATGTTTGTCTACCTTTCTGTCTCGGTCAGTTTCATGTGTCTCTGTCACAGTCAGTATACTCTTAATTCCTGTTTTATTTTGCCAGTTCCTCATCTCATGTGTGTTTGCTTCCTGTCTCATCAATTAGTTTCTGTTTATTTGTGTTCCCCGGGTGTGCCCACACCCACAGATGACTTCTTCGTGAAAATGGAAATCCTGGCGCCTCGCCTGACTAAAAACAGGGAGGTATTGCTGTGACTGTGTGGAGCACAAAGGACATGGGGTACACAACAGGAAGCAGCAAAAAAAACCCTCAAAACCCTGTGTCACAGACCCAGAACCATCACAAAGGCACCTGTCATAACTGGGGTTAAACAAATCAAAAACTCAAAATATCTGCTCTTCCTTACAATATGTTGGAGAAAAAAATATATTTCCAGTTGTATTTCCTGTTTTCCTACCAGAGTATGTCCAGTTTCACATGTGGATCCTTCTTTTGATCAGACAAAAGCTTCATTCCTGAGTCTCCTGGATGATTATAGCTCAAGTCCAGCTCTTTCAAATAGGAGGGATTGGAGCGCACAGCTGTGTCCAGAGAGGTGAAGCCTGTTCCTGTGATCTGACAGCCTGACAACCTTCAAACATACAACATGTCACATCATTGTAAGCAACTGCTCTGAATTTGATGATGTACATGCAGTCGAACTAACAGATTCAGATTCCAGTTAAAGTTGTTAAAAACACACTAACTGGCTTTTCTGTACTCAAATTTAAAAAAACAACAAAAAACATAATTATTTTCTGTCTGTTTTACTATGATGGACACGTTCTCATCCAAAAACTTAACATACCGATGCTATGTGACAAATCGTCTATGTTACACATTCGAAAACATGAGAACCGTTTGGAATAAATCTACACTAAATCTACTTTCTCATCATCAGTTGATTCGGAAAACACTATCTGATACAACTGAGGTTGTGGTTAAGATTAGGGGTAAGGTTAGGGTTAGGGCTGGAATACACAGCTGGATCCCGTGTTACCTATGGCAGTGTCATTATGTTGGATTACATCCACAATCTGGAGCGTATCATAGGGACGTGGAAGGTTACCTTTCGCGTTACTATGAGATGACTCTCGATGTGACAAAAGGTCGGTATATTACGCATTGAGAGTGAGAACGGTCTCGATGGACAGTCATAAATAAAGTTATAGTTTTTTTGATTTGTGAAGTGTGTGTGTTTCACTTCTACTCTACTGTTCTCTTTCAGAGCTTACACCAGAAGAGAAACAACATCATAAAATCTCTAAAATAATGACAGTTGTTGTGAAATACCCACATTTTCTTAAACAAAGAATCAGCTAACCTGAGAGTTTCCAGCATACAGTGTGGACTCCCAAGTCCAACACAAAGCAGCTTCACTCCTGAGTCCTGGAGGTTGTTGTCACTCATGTCCAGCTCTCTCAGTCTGGAGGACTGAGAACTTAGAATTGAGGAAAGAGCCTCAGAGCTTCTCTCTGTGAGGTTACAGCCACCCAACCTGGAAACGTGAATATAAGAGAACTTTCCAGACTCTTAAAAGAAGCACTTTAAAGTAAACTCTTGAAAGGCTTATACTGGATACTTACTGGGCTTTCTTACAGGCTTTGACCACTGGCAGCAGCTGCAAAAGAGCCTCTTCTGAAGCTGAATATTTCCTCAAATCAAATTCATCTAGATCTGCTTCTGATGACAGTAAGATGAAGACCAGAGCTGACCACTGAGCAGGAGAGAGATTAACTTTGGACAGATGTCCTAAACTCAGGTGATGCTGGACCTCCTTTACTATAGAGTCATCATTCAATTCATTCAAACAGTGGAGCAGATTGATGCTTTTCTCTGGAGAGAGAGTGTCATTCATCCTTTCTTTAACATACTTGACTGTTTCCTGATTTATCTGTGAGCTGATTCCTTTTTGTGTGAGCAGGCCTTGTAGGAGATCCTGATTGGTCTGCAGTGAAAGACCAAGGAGGAAGCGAAGAAACAAGTCCAGATGTCCATTTGGACTCTTCAAAGCCTTGTCCACAGCACTCTGGTAGAAATGTCTTACTGAAGATTCTCCAGTCTGCACT